TCGCTGGCAAGCTGGCACCCTCTTCTCCTGATGATGCGGAAGCAATAGCCTGATGACGACGAGGCTGCCAAGTGCGATCAGCCTCATCATCATCAATTAGGGTCTCCGCGTCCTACCCCCCTCGGCTGCGTGTGGGTCAGGAGACAGACCTGTCTCTAGACCGGCTACCGAGCCACTCTCCTCGCCAGTACTTCTTCGCCTGGCTGCTGAAGAGGCGGATGTCTCCCCCCGTTCCTGACCGCCCTCTGTTAGCTCTTCCTCACTGTACAGTGGGGCTGAGCCCACAGCATGCGATACTTCGCTTGGTGAGGGAACACCAAAGGACAGGGGCAGGTCGAGGACACGTGATTTCAGTGGGCTTGCTCCGGGCCATGCCAACTAACGGTTGTGTCTGACGTACCCACCGACCGTTGGCTGTAGGTGTCAGAGGTGACCTGGGAAGAGGAAGACGACCGAGTCAACCAATCGATGACGGCAGGGTTGTCGGTGGAGACACGACGACCGCTGGATGACACCGGGAGCACTGGCCTCTGGCTGCGACTAGTGCTGCCTCGACCCCCTTCCTCTGCTGCCACGTCTGCTCGCTCCTGAAACATTGCCTCCTCTGCCACTCCTCTGCGTGTTGTCTGACATACTCTTTAATTCAATAAGCACCCCAAAAAAAACCGGATTTAACTCTTTGAACGTACAATAGTGGTTGTGAAGCAGAAAGTCAGTTTATTTAGCACAATCGGCCAATTGCAGCTTGCCGTTGGCTGGAAACTGTACGTTTATGTCACTGGAATGCACTAATCACCCTAAAAAAAATATTACCGCCACCCGGCGTGTATATGGATCTAACTCTTTGAACGTACAATAGTGGTTGTGAAGCAGAAAGTCAGTTTATTTAGCACAATCGGTCAATTGCAGCTTGCCGTTGGCTGGAAACTGTACGTTTATGTCACTGGAATGCACTAATAATCACCCAAAAAAATATTACCGCCACCCGGCGTGTAAATGGATCTAGCTCTTTGAATGTACAATAGTGGTTGTGAAGCAGAAAGTCAGTTTATTGTACACAATCGGTCAATTGCAGCTTGCCGTTGGCTGGAAACTGTACGTTTGTGTCACTGGAATGCACTAATCACCCAAAAAATTATTACCGCCAGCCGGCGTGTAAATGGATTTAACTCTTTGAATGTAAAATAGTGGTTGTGAAGCAGAAAGTCAGTTTATTTTGCACAATCGGCAAACTGCAGCACCAACTGTGCACGACAGCCACCAAAAAAAAAAAGGGTGTATGTCACTTTAAATTTTCGATTCTTTGATAGCTGTGGCCCTAAGTAACGATTCTGTGTCCCTGAGTAACGATTCTGTGTCCCTGAGTAACGATTCTGTGGCCCTGAGTAACGATTCTGTGGCCCTAAAGTCTCTGTGGCCCTAACTCTGTCCCTTAATACACACAGGTCTGTCTCTCTTGAATGACCGGAGGCTAATGGAGAATTCTAAGATGGCCGCGATTTATAGCTCCACCATTACACAGTGCTGGCTGGCTGCTGATTGGCTAATGCGATCACATGTCATGAATGCATTATGGGTCAGCGCGCCTTGTCTGCGCGCCTTCCCAGAGATCCCCGCCCCATCTTCTCTGTCCATTTTCTCCGTCGCCGCCATTTTTGGGAAAATTCGATTCGTGCATCCGAAGTTTGCTAATTTTCGGATTCGTCGCGAATAGAATTTTTCCAAATCTTCGGAACGAATTCCACTTCGTCATGTTCGATTCGCTCATCTCTAGTTACCAGCATTATCAAAACGGCCCGTGTGCATGAGGGGTCACAGCGGCTGTTTTTAGCTTTTGACGTTTTTTTTTTTTTTACAGAGACAGTAAACCCCCAGCATGTTATCCTATGTGTCCGTGCACACAGAGACTGTCATCAACGTTTTTTTGGCAGGGTCGTTTTTCGGCAGGAAAAAAAACCCAGGACTAGTGGGCTTCTAGAGGAGTTTTTAAGCTGTAAAAACGCTCTAATGCTGAAAAACACAGCAACATGTAGTAAAAGTAAAACACCACAAACCGGCGTTTTTGTACTTTTTTTTCTAAAAAAAAAAATGCAAAACGTGACTGAAATCAACGTTTTTTGGAAAGAAAAAAAAACATCAGGACTAGCGGGTTTCTAGAGGAGTTTTTTTTAACTGTAAAAATGCTCTAATGCTGAAAAACTCAGTAAAACGCCACAAACTGGCGTTTTTGCACTTTTTTTGACCAAAAAAAAAAATTTAAAAAACGCAAATGTGGCAAAACATGGGAAAATGCCACAAACCAACGTTTTGGGACTTTAAAAAAAAAAAAAAAACGCTAATGCAAAGACTAAAAAAAAACTCAGTGAACGTGACTTTACACAACTAACGTTACCAGCATTTTTAAAACACCCCGTGTGCATGGAGACTTGAGAACAAATGCCTGTCAACATCTTCTCTTTAGTTTTGGATAAAGAAAAGTGACTGCAGAGCTCAATCTCAGTCCCGTGACGACCGAAGTGGAGCTCTGCAGTCACTTTTGCAGCTGTTGTTTTCTTATTCCGAGTCACAATCTTGCACATCCTTTTGTCTCTTTCGGTCAGTTGCCCATGTGGACTGCGCTTATGCTCATCAGAATGCGTTTTCCCGGAAACTGTATACGTCGCCATAACCTTTGATCCTGCACCTCGCGAAACTGCAAATAAACGCACAACTTGGCCAGCAGAAGAGGCGCCAGCTAAGCGGCACGAATTTACCCTCTTTAAAGCTCAGTAAGCTCTGACATGACTCCGTATTACTAGCAGTGAATGAGGAAAGTGAGGCTTCCCACCTGTTACCTAGGTGTCTCATCACATAGCAAAAGCAAAAGAATTTCAATGCGAAACATTGTCACTTTCACACCTGCAAATCATATAGTGTTTAAATTTTTGTCTAGCCCCTGTATGTCCCTTTTTAGCCCGTCAGAATTGTTAGAAGACAATCCACTTACTGTCTATGAAACATAACACCATAGGGCAGCACAGTGGCTAAATGGTTAGCACTTCTGCCTGGCAGTACTGGGGTTATTGGTTCAAATCCTAACCATGGCACCACCTGCCTGTGGTTTGCATGTGCTCCCTGTGCCTGTGTGGGTTTCCTCCGGGTACTCCAGTTTCCTCCCACACTCCAAAGACATGCTGGGAGGTTAATTGGCCCTAGTATGTGTATGTATGAATGTGAGTTAGGGACCTTAGATTGTACACCCCTTGAGGGACTAATGTGAATGTGCTATATATATATATATATATATATATATATCGTATGTACGTGTAAAGCAAGTAAATTGATGGCGCTATACTTGTAATAAATTTAGAAAAAAGTAAAAATCTTGATCGCGATCTGAACTATACTAGTGTCCGCAATACTCAGCGGCGAGACTCATCCACCTCACCCCCCTCTGCCAATCCCTTCACTGGCTCCCGATTGCCCAGCGCATCAAATTCAAACTGCTAACTCTGACCTACAAAGCCATTCACAATGCCGCCCCAAACTACCTAACCGACCTGATACCATCCTAACTGTGCCCTTTGCTCCTCATAGGACCTCCTAGTCTCTAGCTCCCTGGTCTCCTGCTCCCATTCCCGACTGCAGGACTTCTCCAGGAATTCCCCCATCCTCTGGAACTCCATACCCCAATCCATCAGACTGTCACCTGCCCTACTCACCTTCAGGCGCACCCTGAAAACCCACCTCTTCAGGGAAGCCTACCCCACCCTCACCTAACAACTGACCTCCACCACTCCATCCCCTACAGCCATTTCCTCCTGTACCACTCTCCCCTCCCTCCTAGATTGTAAGCTCGAAAGAGCAGGGCCCTCGTGTATTATATTGTTACTGTCTTGTCTCATGTTCTGTCCCCCCTTGCTATTGTACAGCGCTGAGCAAACCCTTTGGCGCTATATAAATACTGTATAATAATAATATAGTGCCCCCAAAAATGATGCGTTAGCAAGATCATCCCCAATTGCTGCCAGCACTTGCGACATATATCAGAACACATTTTAACCTAAATTTATGAAGAAATTTTGATTTTATTGGATGTTTTATAACAGAAAATAGTTTTTTTTTTAAATTTTCGGTCTTTATTCATGTAAAGCGCAGGGTAAATTGACAGCGCTATACAAGTACCTGAAATAAATAAAATATCAAAATCAATGTTTTGTAAATAGTTCTTTTAAAAAAATTTCAGTCTTTATACATGTAAAAAGATGGCGCTATAGAAGTAACTGAAGCAAATAACGAGTCCACAGCACAGTTTACATGAGAACTTTATTGCTGTCACACAGTGAATATCTTTATGGCACGTGAGAAGGGACCGAACTATGGTTCCCAAAGAACTAAAGTGAAAACCCAGTGAAAACAGTTTATTTTTTTTTTTTTTAATTTTTATAGAATGGAGAAGGTGAGAGCCTCTGTTGGGTCCTTGGGTTGTCCCTCTTGAAGAAACTTCTCAAATACAACCACCATAGGGACAGGAAGTCTCTCTGATGGGGGACACACAGAAACATTAAAAAAGAAAAGAAGTAGATCAAACTCTTCCCTGCTTTACTAAATAAAAGTTTTTACTGATTCCTGTGTCCTTGTTGGAGAAATTTACCATCAATACTGGTCTTCGTGACAACTGAAAAATCACCGGAATGGAGTTTTAAAAAAAACTACGACATGAAGATGCACAATACACGACAAGTTAAAAAAAAAAAAACGTTTTTAAATAATGAAACAAAACAAAACAAAAAACGAAAACCAAAAAAAACTCAAAAACAAACAAAAACAGAAAAAAACAGAACAAACAAAAACAGAACAAAAAAAAACAGAACAAACAAAAACAGAAATAGCACCAAAATAAATCGGAAATATTCCACATAGGTTGGCTGGTCCTTTCAGCCCTTTATTCTATTGGTTGTTCTACAGCCATAACAATTTAGTCTGTGAAAAGCCACCACCCTACGTATTTCAACCGTCTCGGGTGCTGTGTGTTCTCTGGTGGATGATTAGCGTCACTTTCTGCGCAAAACATTTGCCGCATTCTGAACAGGAAAACGGCCTCTCCCCGGTATGAATCCTCATGTGCTTATCACGGTTCCCTTTATCAGTGAAGCACTTTCCGCACTCGGAACAGGAAAAGGGCTTCTCCCCAGTGTGGACTCTGTGGTGTCTATTGAGTTGCGATTTCTGTTTGAAGCACTTTCCACAAACGGAACACGAAAATGGCTTTTCCCCAGTGTGGGTTCTCCGGTGTTGAGCAAGTCCTGCTTTCCTTATGAAGATCTTCTCACACTCGGAACACGAAAAGGGTTTTTCACTGGTGTGGCTTCTCTGGTGTACGACCAGGTCGTGGTTTCTTTCACAATCCTGAAAAGGACACAAATTGTTGGGAGAGGATTCCTCAGGTTTAAAAAGATCTGGAGATTTAGCTGCATGGTGACAGATTGGATGGACATTACAAATAATAGAACATGGTTAAAACATGCAATTCACAGAATTAAACCAAATCTGTCGATCTTACCGTATGATTAAATTTGTGATTAATACTGCTTACTCCTGGAGAACATTGTACCCCACCACTATCCTCTTTATTATAATCCGCAGATAAAATAAGACGTCCCTCTGAGGTGTTCCACCTTCTGCAGCCTCCTGTTGGAAATATTATTATTATTATTGTTCTTCATAGTTCATGTTCTGCAGTTAGGAATAATGAAGTAAACTTTTACCCAGATCCTTGGCACAGAATTAAGTACAGAGATAAAAATGCAAAGATAGAAGTCAGATAAAGTGTACAATGTAACTAAGGTACGTGGGGCATTGTACATACGTGGTGTACAGTATCTCCTCATTTGTTGGGAATAGAGATGAGCGAATCGAACCAGGCGAAGTGGAATTCGTTTCGAATTTCAGGAAAAATTCGATTCGCGTCGAATCCGAATATTAGCATACTTCGGGTGCGCGAATCGGATTTTTCCCGATCAGCCGGCAAAAGTGTCCCTGCAGAGAGCTCCCGCTATTTCTGACAGTTCTCTGACAGTTCCTTCACATGTACAGCGGTTGAAACATTGTATCTATTTGTTTCCATTTAGGATACAGATGTTTTTATTCGGAAACAGATACAATGTTTCAACCGCTGTAAATGTGAAGGAACTGTCAGAGAACTGTCAGAAATAGCGGAGCTCTCTGCAGATACACTTTTTGCTGTACTGGAATACTTCTTCTTTTCATTTTTCTTTTCATTCTTCTCATTCTTCTTTTCATTCTTCTTCTTTTCATTCTTCTTCTTCTTCTTCTTCTTTTCATTCTTCTTCTTCTTTTCATTCTTCTTCTTCTTCTTTTCATTCTTTTCATTCTTCTTTTTCTTCTCATTCTTCTTTTCATTCTTTTCATTCTTCTTCTCATTCTTCTTTCATTCTTCTTCTCTTCTTCTTTTCATTCTTCTTCTTTTCATTCTTCTTCTTTTCATTCTCCTTCTTTTCATTCTTCTTTCTTTTCATTCTTCTTCATTCTTCATGAAAAGAAGAATGAGAAGAATGAAAAGAAGAAGAATGAAAAGAAGAATGAGAAAGAAGAAGAATGAAAAGAAGAATGAGAAGAAGAATGAAAAGAAGAATGAGAAGAAATGAAAAAAAAGAAGAATGAGAAGAATGAAAAGAAGAATGAAAGATGAAAAGAAGAGAATGAAAAGAAGAATGAAAAGAATGAAAAAGAAGAATGAAAGAATGAATGAAGAAATGAAAAGAAGAATGAAAGAAGAATGAAGAAAGAAGAAAAGAAGAAGAAGAATGAAATGAAAAGAAGAAGAAGAAGAATGAATGAAGAGAAGAATGAATGAAGAAGAAGAAGAAGAATGAAAAAAGAATGAAAAAAGAAGAATGAAAAGAAGAATGAAAAGAAGAATGAAAAAGAATGAAAAAAGAAGAAGAAAAATGAAAAGAATGAGAAGAATGAAAAGAAGAATGAGAAGAATGAAAAGAAGAATGAAAAGAAGAAGAAGAAGAATTCTTCTTTTCATTCTTCTTCTTCTTTTCATTCTTCTTCTTCATTCTTCTTTTCACTCTTCTTTTCATTCTTCTTTTTCACTCTTCTTCATGAATGAAAAGAAGAATGAAAAGAAGAATGAAAAGAAGAAGAAGAATGAAAGAAGAAGAAGAATGAATGAAAAGAAGAAGAATGAAAAGAAGAATGAAAAGAAGAATGAAAAGAAGAATGAAAAAGAAGAATGAAAGAAGAATGAAAAGAAAAATGAAGAAAGAGAAGAAGAAGAAAAGAATGAAAGAAGAAGAAGAAGAATGAAGAAGAAGAAGAAGAATGAAGAAGAATGAAAAGAAGAATGAAGAAGAATGAATGAAGAAGAAGAATGAATGAAGAAGAAGAATGAGAAGAATGAGAAGAAGAATGAAAAGAAGAATGAGAAGAAAAAAGAATGAGAAGAATGAGAAGAATGAGAAAGAATGAAAAGAAGAATGAGAAGAATGAAAAGAAGAATGAAAAGAAGAAGAATGAAAATTCTTCTTTTCATTCTTTTCATTCTTCTTTTCATTCTTCTTCTTCTTTTCTTTCTTTTCATTCTTTTCTTTTTCATTCTTCTCATGAAAAGAAGAATGAATGAGAAGAATGAAAAGAAGAATGAAAAGAAGAAGAAGAATGAAAAGAAGAAGAAGAATGAATGAAAAGAAGAATGAAAAGAAGAATGAAAAGAAGAATGAAAAGAAGAAGAATGAAAAGAAGAAGAATGAAAAGAAGAATGAAAAGAAGAATGAAAAGAATGAATGAAGAAGAAGAATGAGAAGAATGAGAATTCTTCTTGAAAAGAAGAATGAGAAGAAGAATGAAAGAATGAAAAGAAGAAGAATGAGAAGAAAAAAGAAGAAAGAAGAAGAAAAAGAAGAATGAAAAGAAGAAGAAGAAGAAGAGAAGAATCTTTTCAAGATTTTCTTTCTTCTTCTTCATTCTTCTTTTCATTTCTTCTTCTTCTTTTCATTCTTCTTTTCTTCTCATTCTTCTTCTTCTTCTTCTTTTCATTCTTCTTCATTCTTTTCATTCTTCTTCTCAATGAAAAGAAGAATGAAAAGAAGAATGAAAAGAATGAAAAGAAAAGAATGAAAAAAGAAGAAAAAAAGAAGAAGAATGAATGAAGAAGAAAAAAATGAAGAAGAATGAATGAAAGAAGAATGAAAAGAAGAAAAATGAAAAGAAGAAGAAAAGAAGAATGAAAAGAATGAAAGAATGAAGAATGAAAAGAAGAATGAGAAGAAGAAAGAAGAATGAAAAAAGAATGAAAAAGAAGAATGAAAGAATGAAAAGAAGAATGAAAAGAAGAATGAAAAAGAAGAAAGAAGAATGAAGAAGAATGAAAGAATGAAAAGAAGAAGAAGAAGAATGAAAAGAAGAAGAAGAATGAAAAGAAGAATGAAGAAGAAGAAGAAGAATCTTTTCATTCTTCTCATTCTTCTTTTCATTCTTCTTCTTCTTTTCATTCTTCTTCTTTTCATTCTTCTTCTTCTTCTTCTTCATTCTTCATTCTTCTTCTTCTTCTGAGGATGAGGATGAAGATGAAGAAGAAGAAGAAGTAGGATGAAAATAAGAAGAATTCCAAGCCGGCAAAAAGTGTATCTGCAGAGCTCCGCTAAGTGTATCTGCAGAGCTCCGCTAAGTGTTCTGCAGAGCTCAGCGGTTGAAACATTGTATCTATTTGTTTCCATTTATGGAAACAAATAGATACAATGTTTCAACCGCTGTAAATGTGAAGAATGTGAAAGAAGAAGAAGTAGGATGAAAATAAGAAGAATTCCAAGCCGGCAAAAAGTGTATCTGCAGAGCTCCTCTATTTAAGAATTCCAAGCCGGCAAAAAGTGTATCTGCAGAGCTCCGCTAAGTGTATCTGCAGAGCTCCGCTAAGTGTATCTGCAGAGCTCAGCGGTTGAAACATTGTATCTATTTGTTTCCATTTATGGAAACAAATAGATACAATGTTTCAACCGCTGTAAATGTGAATGTCAGAGAGAACTGTCAGAAATAGAGGAGCTCTGCAGATACACTTAGCGGAGCTCTGCAGATACACTTTTTGCCGGTTTGGAATTCTTATTTTCATCCTACTTCTTCTTCTTCTTCATCCTCATCCTCAGAAGAAGAAGAGGATGAGGATGAGGATGAAGAAGAAGAAGTAGGATGAAAACTAAGAAGAATTCCAAGCCGGCAAAAAGTGTATCTGCAGAGCTCCGCTAAGTGTATCTGCAGAGCTCGCTAAGAAATAGCGGAGCTCTGCAGATACACTTTTTTGCTTCTCCTTCTTCTCATCCTTCTCCTTCTCCTTCTTCTCATCCTTCTCCTTCTTCTCATCCTTCTCCTTCTCTCATCCTTCTCCTTCTCCTTCTTCTCATCCTTCTCCTTCTTCTCATCCTTCTCCTTCTTCTCATCCTTCTCCTTCTTCTCATCCTTCTCCTCATCCTTCTCCTTCTTCTCATCCTTCTCCTTCTTCTCATCCTTCTCCTTCCTCATCTCCAAGGGCATTTAAATTTAAGGTACAGTGTTCTGCACTAATTTAAAGGCTCTCTGAAGCCTAGAAACCCTTTTTATAAGTTAAATTCGTAGCGAATAAATTCGCATCGAATCGCATTTCTTCCTCAAATTCGGCGAATCAGTCGAATCGAATTTTTGAATAATTCGCTCATCTCTAGTTGGGAACATGACGTTATATTGAGGAATGGAGATGGACCTTTCATATGGTGTACAGTATCTCCTCCTCATTTGTTGGGAACATGACATTATATTGAGGAATGGAGATGGACCTTTCATATGGTGTACAGTATCTCCTCCTCATTTGTTGGGAACATATGGTGTACAGTATCTGGTAAAGGTTCACTGGGTACATTTCCATCATGTCATAAAAAGCAACATTTTTTTCTTTCATAGGGCAGCACACCCTGTCTTAAATTTTGTGTGATGGATTGCTACTTTTCATTCTTTTTCAATCTCCATACCTAAATTTGATGGTAATTACTGAAATGTAAGAGAATAAACGTAAAAAAAAAAAGATAATGTGAAGTGCTACATTTTAGTATTTAATATTTACCTGTGGTGACATCTAGAGAAGATTCCTCATTGGTCATCACCACCTTTTTCCACTGATCATCTATCTCATACATTTCTTCTTCCTCTTTAATCTCATTTTTTATACCCATCACTTCTTCCTCCTAAAATCGCAAAATGATTGTGAGCACTTTTATCCTGAGACTATATACAAGAATATAATTTAATACAGTTTGGAACCAAGTTTGAGTTGGACATCCTCAGTCCCACCTACCTGATGATGGTGAGGGACCTCATGATCTTCCTGTATGGAATCCTGGGAATCCAGAAGATGG